TAGTTGTTCCTCGATCTCACCAATATGCCTTATTATCTCATCCTTCAGCTGTTGAATTGTCGTTGGCTTGTTGGTATAGACCTTACTTTTGAGATGACCCCAAAGGAAGAAATTTTTGATGACGTCTCTGCATAGTTGTTCCTCGATCTCACCAATATGCCTTATTATCTCATCCTTCAGCTGTTGAATTGTCGTTGGCTTGTTGGCATAGACCTTACTTTTGAGATGACCCCAAAGGAAGAAATTTTTGATGACGTCTCTGCATAGTTGTTCCTCGATCTCACCAATATGCCTTATTATCTCATCCTTCAGCTGTTGAATTGTCGTTGGCTTGTTGGCATAGACCTTACTTTTGAGATGTTCCCCCAAAGGAAGATCCTTTTTTGATGACGTCTCTGCATAGTTGTTCCTCGATCTCACCAATATGCCTTATTATCTCATCCTTCAGCTTTTGAATTGTCGTTGGCTTGTTGGCATAGACCTTACTTTTGAGATGACCCCAAAGGAAGAAATTTTTGATGACGTCTCTGCATAGTTGTTCCTCGATCTCACCAATATGCCTTATTATCTCATCCTTCAGCTGTTGAATTGTCGTTGGCTTGTTGGCATAGACCTTACTTTTGAGATGACCCCAAATGCAGAAATTTTTGATGACGTCTCTGCATAGTTATTCCTCGATCTCACCAATATGCCTTATTATCTCATCCTTCAGCTGTTGAATTGTTGTTGGCTTGTTGGCATAGACCTTACTTTTGAGATGACCCCAAAGGAAGAAATCTAAAGGCGTCAAGTCGCACGATAATGATGGCCAATTGACTTCATTGTTTCGAGACAGGGTGCGATCTGGGAACTTCTCATTACATTTCTGTTTGAACGTCCATTTCATAATAGCCTTCGATAACTTTAACACGTTGTTTGATTGTTAATCTTTCCATGGTTGAAATTGCCAAACACTTAAGTTGTTAAATCTGAAAGAAAAAGAAAGAAAAATCGTTAGACGCTTAAACTTAATTCACATTTAAAATCGGTCCAAGCTATTGGGACACCAATTAATTTTAATGTCTCCAAAACGAAACTGCTCTCTTTTAACCACAAAAGAGAAACGTTCTTGTCTGCCATCAGCTGGAGAGCATTACATTGCGGCTTTTTGGCCTCACTTTTTAAATTGACTTGAAGTAGAACGGCTACATCGAATCAATATCTGCATCTACTGCAAGGAAAGTTTGGTCACTGAGGCGTCCCAGAAGGTTTTTCCCGTCAGAGTCCATCTTGCACATTTACAAATCTACCATTTGCCCAGCTACTAGATGCACGGACGAATGATAGAATTTTTAGCGAATCTTTGGAGGTACCTATAAATAGGTACCTCCAAAAAAAAGTGCCCAAAATTTAATAAAAACAAAGATCAAAGGATATTTACGTAAAAATTATATTATTTGATTCCTTTTTAAAACCTTCGAAATGTTGGTTAATAATCTTGTTTCCCCGGCGTCAACATTGTACCATAAATGAATCTGAGAAATTTGAGATTCTTTTTGCGATGTCAAACACACTGATTTGGAAAGTCCTGCAAACAAATTGTCGTATTCTAATGAAACATCCAAGACTTATTTACAAATGAACGAAATTATTTTTGAAATGTTACCTTTTCATGATTTTTTTTTTTTAAAGCTGGTACACCCTACTTATTTAATTTTATGAAATTTCGAAAAATTCTTTTTTTGTAGCGATTAATATTTATATTAGTTAGAAAGACAAGTCCTTGGAGATTTTAAATAATGAAAATATTTTAATCAAACAGGAAATCCAGAAAGCCTGCTCCGAATCGTAAAATAAAAAATGCAATAAAACTAAGCCCTATTTTAATTAGAAAAGCTTTTAATTGGTTTTATGTTTAAAATAGATTATGGACACTGTTGTCTTAAGAAAAAGTTTGTTTTTTTCGATGAATGATGAATTTTTACAAGAACTGTTTTCATTTTTCTTAAATTTTAATTAGAATAATTTATCAATTTTTGAATCTTTTGAAATTTTGTATTAATTTGTAGCGGTCAAGTGATATTATTATTAATTTTTTTTTTATAGTAAGGTTCGCCTGGAGGCCACTCGTGGTAAAGAGTTACAACAAGGAGTACTTTATACGAATAGGAGGCGCAGATAGCAGTTAACTCTAGACTTGAAGAAGTTAACATTGTAGTGATTGGGGAAACATTCTTTTGGGGGTCTGATTCTACAAATACGTATTTTCTACAAATATTTTCATGGTAACTGTCTGACGAGTTTTGTTCTCTGGTGCCACGACTATATAAATTTAAGCGTGTTACTAGATTGGCATCTAGGTCCCACCCGTTTACTGTTGAAATAGTTAAATGTAACAGCCACTTCTATTCCAACAGTTTCTTTTTCTGCACTTCCCGCCTGCGGAACTCCCTTCCGTTTACTTGCTAACCTGATAGCTACAATCTTCAAACATTTAAATGCAATGTCAATCGCCATCTTCTGTCTTCTTGAATGCCATTCAACTTTTATCTTTTCTTCAATCCTCCCTATACACAGTCTTTTCTCTCAGTTTCACTCTCTGTAACCCCCTGTGTACTAGTGTCATTCCCGCCTTGCTTGGGGTGAAATGATTAAAAAAAAAAAAAAAAAGACAAAGAAAAAATTTCAATAAATCATTCGTCGATCGTAAAAAGAGACATTTGCGTATTTCTGGGCATTTTGTCATCAATCCAAGCGACAGTACATCGAAAGAATATTAAGATAACAATACAGCAATTAAAATTCTGCAGAGGCTAGTCAAGATAACGGCGAGGGACGATAAAACGAGACGCGAAGTCATTGGTGCCTGACGTCGGCGTCATGGCTTTTGGTTGGTTATCGATATGCGGCCGACTTCAACATGCAGGGTTGATGACTGTGACATGATAGATGAGATTAAAGTCTGAATAATTGACAAATACTTTGGCTAAGTTGTTTCCTTATCATTTATTCAACGTTTCTGTTTGATGTGCTCGTCTCCTGTCCAGAATATCACTCTCTTCGGCCAAAACGCCAACTTCTACGCCATTATTGACTCAGAGAAAGCAATTGTATCAAACGAACAGAGACGCTAGTACCTACTCTCCAACAGAAAAGACTTAGGCTCTAAGAAAAGTCATAGAACCACGATATTAGACTCCATTAAGCCTTTTGTTTTGTTGTTCACGAGTATAAAAGTTTCCTTTATCACTTTAAACCTTATTTTTAGTGGATACCCACATTTGAATAGACGCTCCGTTTATTTTTAAAACACTATATTTATTTTCGTCTGCCGATCTGAATGTTAGAAAAAGCTTGGTTTTTCAATTTCTTTCTTTCTTTCTTTCTTTCTTTCTTTCTTTCTTTCTTTAACATTCTGTTTCTATCTGCCTATCATTCTCTCTACCTATCTATCTCTCTCTTCCTCTCTCTCACTCTCTCTCTCTCTCTGTTTCAATTTTGCCTTTGTTAGCTTGTATCTATCTATCTCTCCCACTTTTTTCTCTCTCTCTCTCTCTCTCTATATATATATATATATATATATATACATACATACAGTGTAACCCGGATATAAGAGACCCGGATATAAGAGAAACCCGGATATAAGAGAAACCCGGATATAAGAGAAACCCGGATATAAGAGAAATTTTCTCTGGTCCCAAAGTGTTCCCATACTTACCTAAACAAAATAGACCAAACCCGGATATAAGAGAAACCCGGATATAAGATACTTCTCCGGTCCCGACAACTCTCTTATATCCGGGTTACACTGTACATATATATTATCACTTTAAACGTTATTTTAGTGGATGCACACATTTGAGTAGACGCACCGTTTATTTTTTAAACAGTGTATTTATTTTTTTCTACCGTCCTGATATGCGAGAAATCTTAATTTCTTTCTTTCTTTCTTTCTTTCTTTCTTTCTTTCTTTCTTTCTACAACATTATGTTTCTATCTCTCTATCTATCTCAATTTTCTTTCTATATCTGTCTGCTTGTATCTCTCTCTCTCTCCCTCTCTCTCTCTCTCTCTATCTATCTATCTATATCTATATATATATATATATATATATGTGTGTGTGTGTGTGTGTGTTTTATCACTTTGAACGTTATTTTAGTGAATACCCATATTTGAATAGACGTTCCGTTTATCTTTTAACGGCCTGATATTCGATAAATCTTTCTTTCTTCTTTTTTTCAACATTCTCTCTCTCTCTCTCTCTTTCTATATATATATATATATATATATATATATATATATATCTTAATTTTTTCTTTCTGTGTCTGCTTGTATCTATGTATATTATCACTTTAAATGTTACTATAGTTGATACCCATATTTGAATAGAAACTGCGTTTATCTTTTAAACAGTGTATTTATTTATTTTCGTCTAATTATTTTTCGACTCTACTTGATCGACAACGCCCTTCTTCGCCGAATCGGTTTAAAAAGACGTCGGATCTAACGCCGATATCTCCTGCTAGCGGGACGCAGGCTCGTATGCTACCGGGGCAGGCGCATCTTCGTCTTTAATATGATCTCTCAAATATACAGGTCGGTAGATGAAAATAAATGAATATACTGGGGCGTTTACTCAAATATGGGTATCCACTAAAAATAACGTTTAAAGTGATAAAATCTGTCGGATTAATAATAATAATAAAAAACACATCGCTTCTTTAAAACATATTGAAGTTTAAATATATGGGAAGTGTTTTAATAGTAGACCGAAAATTGGAATAGTAAAATAAAAATGCCTTCCAAAATCTCAGCAAAGTATTAAGAAGCGGGAAAATTTCTTTAGGAGCAAAGAAAAGAGTGATGAACTACTATGTAATGTTAATCCTCTTATATGGCCTGTGAATAATGGGCATTTTCTTCTCTGATGTAACATCAAGGTAACTTGAAGCAACAGAGATGTGGCTCTACAGAAGGATGCTGAGGATAGTTGAACAAAGCATGCAAGCAACGAGGATATCTTAAAGAAAGTAGAAACAAAAAAAAGACACAGAGTTGAAATTTTGAGGGCGCATAAGAAAGAAAGAAAGAAAGAAAGAAAAAAAGAAAGAAAGAAAGAAAGAAAGGAAATGAAAAGAAAAAAGAAAGAAAGAAAGAAAGAAAGAAAATGGAAAGAAAAAGAAAAAAGAAAGAAAAAAAGGAAATGGAAAGAAAGAAAGAAAGAAAGAAAATGGAAAGAAAGAAAGAAAAAAGAAAGAAAGAAAGCGTGCAGAATTTGACACACACAGAACATAAAGAAGGCAAGAGGGGCAAAAGAAAATAGCGAATAACGTACCTAACGAGTTTATGTAAATGGATGGCAGGACAAAAAATGGGAGGGGCAGTAAAAGGGGAAAATTACAAAAGCTACAGAAGATAGGAAGTTGTGGAGAGACATGATCGCCCACGTTGTAACAGGACGCGGAACCTAAAAGAAGAATAGCTCAACTATGACAAACATCTTTCTCATTAAGTATTATATCCCTTCAGGATGTAGATGATCATGACTCTCCACATCTTCCTTCTCTTTAACACCGGAGAACTGTGCATTTGAAAGAGTCTAGCCGGAATCTAAACTTGGTACGCAGATTCTACACAATGGTATGTTAACCGTTTATTCACAGATTCTTTCCAATATAAAAAAATACCTTACTATAAAGGTAATTTACATTAACCCGAAAAAAAAAGGCTTAGACAGAAGCGTCTATCTTTTTAAATTTGGATTTCTAATGTAACTATAACAACAAAAACATTTCAATTTCATTTTTGTCGGAAGACGAAACGCGTCGGCAAAATTTAAGATTTTTTCCAATTGTCATTTTATACCAATCTGTCTTGTCCACAGAATTGATCTGGGAATTTAACTATATATATATATACATATATATATATATATATATATATATATATATATATATATATATATATATATATATACAATTCTGCACTCTCAATTATGATCTTATCTCTTTTAATTAGATATCTACTTTTGTATCTATTTTATCATATATTTTATTATTTATTGATTACTTTTATAATTTATCATTTAAATAGATGCTTTAATAATAATGATGATAATTGGCTTATTTGACGATGATACGTGAATGTTCAGTGATAATATATATATATATATATATATATATATATATATATATAGTGTGTGTGTGTGTGTGTGTGTGTGTGTGTGTGTGTGTGTGTGCAGGGCCGGTGGATACAACCACCGAATACCCTGAACGGGGGAGATCCGATCCTACTTGGAGACCCCGAAAAGTGCTTTGTTATCCTCGCTGTCTTGTCAGCATTTGCTTTTTTTTCTACCTACTTTCATATACGCTACAAATTAAACTATGCACAACTCTGAGTTATTAAAGGATGAAACATTTTTTTGTGAATTTGTTTTGCGCATGCTAAGTCTGGAAAACACGCTATAAAAATCCACTGTATTTTATCCATAATGTTGAATGCGTGAAAATTATTCAAATTTTAACAAGAAAAATCTCAAGTTGATGTTAAAAATTGCCGCGAGACAGTGTTTTTTTCTTTTGTTTAAGATGGAATCATCTATTGTGACATGTCTCTAATTTGCATTTAGATACATTGTATTTATTTTCAATTTTTCTACTTGAATTGGTCACCTATATTGCATATGATCTATTATTGTACATAATTAGGTTACAATAAAATTTCTATTTTATATCTCTAATTTTACTTATTATAAAACGCAGATTGTGTGTGTGTGTCTGTACGTTTATATATTGGATAGGATTTCCTACATTTTTCAACCGATTTCAACAAAACTTCACAGAACTGCGTAAAATTACCTTGCGGTGGTTCTGACAGCGCCAAAAATTGAAAAAACACAATTTTTTTACACGAAATCAATTTGAAAACACGATAAAACACGATTCTGTCGCCAGAATGAAAGGGGGACAACTCATATCGAGTTATACTTATTATAAAACCCAGGTTGTGTGTGTGTGTGTGTGTGTGTGTGTGTGTGTGTGTGTGTGTGTGTGTGTTCGTTTATATATGGGATCGGATTTCCTACATCTTTCAACCGATTTCAACAAAACTTCACTTTTTTTTTGGCAGGTAGTGTTTCTTATCGTCTTGCACACTTTTTTCTTTATTTTTACATTCAGAATGCTTTAAAAATTCCATTTACAAGACAATTGTTTATAATAAAATTTCTATTCAATCGATAGACTCATAACGATTGAAAACAATGCTTTTGTTTCAGTTTGAGTTTGACCAATTCGTAAAAAAAAAAAAAACTAATTAAGACATGCGTGTCCGTCAACCTTAAACAATAATCTTTGTCAATTTTATTTTTCAGTCTTTATGATGGTCGATACTTGATCTATCTCTTACTGTTACATCCCCGGGCAACGCTGGGATCTACTGCTAGTACCTTATAAAATTTGTGAAGTGATAAAGTTGGGTTCCATATCATAGATTCTGTGTGTGTGTGGGGGGGGGGTGCATGAGACCCCTTGCACCGACCCTGTGTGTTGGGGTGTGCGTGTACGTGTGGGCATTAGGGCTTTACAAAAAAGGCTATTTAAAAGTATAAATATATATAAAATAATATAAAAGGTTTTTATGAATTTTTCTATATATGTATATGTACAAAAATGTCCATTTTTAAAGCCCTAAAATTTTTTTCTGTCAACCGCAGATTCTTTCTATCTATCTATCTATCTATCTATCTATCTATCTTTCTATCTATCTATACACACACACACACACACACACACACACACACACACACACACACACATATATATATATATATATATAGGAAAGGATAAAGAACGAACAGGAAACGTTTATCAATGTAACGTGTTTTACTTTTTAAAAGCGAGACTAGCGGGGATATCAAGCATTGCTCGGAAGATCTCTGAATAATAGTTTATTATTGACAATTTATTGATATTTTTCAGCCATCTTATGGAAAATATTTATATTTATTTATTATTTTAAAAGTAAACTTGATTCTTTTTGGGGTTAGTTACAAAATAACTAAATTTAGGAAAATAACATACTACCAATACCACGCTCATGGGGGAGGCCTTAGGGAGCTGGATATCCCCATATTTTTATTCAAAAAGACACTTTATATTTTGAAATTAAATACTAACATAAATATCCTGTTAATGTTGTTTTCAAACAAATCAAATCGATTTACCAAATTTCATTTTTTTTTTCAAATTATTATTAATAAAAAAGGAAAAAAACTTAAATTAAGATATATTTAAACATATTTAATTTAACCATTTTTTGCAAGCAAAAAATATAGCCAGCCTTAATTCTTCGAAAAAATAATTATCTCCTATTTATTTTGGAGGGGAATTTAGATTATTTAAGTAAATAAAGATTACATTATTGATTATTTTCTTGCCAAAGAAAAGTGAAATTAGCAAACATTTCTCCGTAAATGAATTTAATTATTAACTATTTTCAAAGAGTGTAGAAATAAGATACATTGAGAATTTAATTTTGAAAATCGATTATGTTTAAATTTGAAGTTATATTTGTATTTGTAAAGGGAAAAAAAGAGATTGACATGAGTTACGGTCAACATTAGTCATGTTAAATATTTGTTTTATGACTTTAACTATATTTTATTTAAATTAATTTTCAAAAAAATAAAGCCCGCTATAGTTTTATTCTTAAATAAATACTTAATTTAAAATTATTTACTTTTTTATGTTAGTCGCAAACCAAAAATCAATGGATTTTATTTTGTGAAGATTAAATAAAAAAACATTATTTTCCATATGATGGCCGAAAAATATTAATAAGATTAAATTTCTTCTTTTAAATTTATTTTGTTGTTTTAATATTCAATTTTTAAAGTTACGCTTTTATTTACTATAGATATGGAAATCAATTCAAGAAAATAGAAATTTAAAAATTACATATAGCGTTTCGAAATTATCAGCAGAATTAAAAAGTAAAAACGAACGAAATAAGAATTATCCCGTTCGTTTTTACTTTTTAATTCTGCTGATAATTACGAATGCATTGTGACGCCGTTATCACGTATTTTCATTAAAATATCCTTGAAAATACAAATTATACGATATTTTTTTTTTACAAAAAGGTAGATTGGGTGATACAAAAGGCCATAATGTGCTAACCGTATTCGGAAATTAAAAACATCACTACCACACACTGAACATACACAGAACGCACACACTCTACTAAGCTGAAAAATCGAATCATCCTTGATAATGGCTAAAGGTATAGCCGAAAGCGTTCGGAAATATAAAACATTTGGACAGTTCTTACACACCCTTTGTCCAGAAAAGAAAGCTCTTGTTCGAACACAAGGAAAATTAAATAAAAAGCTTAACCGTAGTATCTTGTCTGTCGTTTTTAATGAAGCATGCATATATATATATATATATATATATATATATATATATATATATATATATGCATGTTTCATATATATATATATATGTGTGTGTGTGTGTCTGTGTGTGTGTCTCTGTGTGTGTCTGTGTGTGTATTTATGTATATATGCATATATGTAAAAATTCAAATATAAAAAATTCATCTTTAAAGGGAATATTAGTAAAAAAAAAGAAACAAGGGCAAACAGTTTTATGTTTTGTTCGTTGAGAAACTGAGTTTAGAAATTTTATTATATCAAGTATTAAGAATATAGTAACAGTGGTCTGCAAATTGAGGGAGAGTGTTATCAATGATAATGTTCTGACTTCGAATCCGTATTTATCTCCCTTGAATCTTCTCTCTGTTTTTTTTTTTTGGTTTTTTTTTTTTGGTTTTTTTTAAATGTTACAGCAACACTAACCAGCCAGCCGGCATGCTATCCCCGCCATCAGCAACTTCAGCCAGCAGCAGCAGCAGACCTCCAACTCCAGCCAGCCGTCCTCGCCAGCAGCAAATGATATGCGATAAACTGTCCTTTTCAGGAAACATTTTTCTACGACTACAAAACTTTTCAGTTCAGATCAACACTTGTTGACGACTACAAAACTGTTCTTTTCAGGACAACAACTACAAAAATGTCCCTTTCAAGACATTTCCCATCAGTTACAAAACTGTCCTTTTCAGGACAACATTTTTAAACGACTACAAAACTATCTTTTCAGGTCATCACTTGTCGATGGCGATAAAACTGTCCTTTTCAGGACAACACTTGTCAACGGCCACAAAAATGTCTTTTTCAAGGCAACACTTCTCATCAGTTAAAAAGAAAACTGTCCTTTTCTGAACAAAACTTCTCTATGCCTTCAAAACTATCCTTTTCAGGGCAACATTTTTCATCGACTATAAGACTATCCTTTTCAGGACAACTTCTTTCAAGGACTATAAAACTATCCTTTTCAGGACAACACTTTTCAAGGCTTACCAAAACTATCCTTTTCAGGGCAACATTTTTCATCGACTATAAGACTATCCTTTTCAGGACAACACTTTTCAAGGCTTACCAAAACTGTTCTTTTCAGGACAACATTTTTCATCAACTATATAACTATCTTTTTCAGGACAACACTTTTCAGGGACTACCAAACCTTCTCTTCTCAGGACAACATTTTTCATCGGCTATAGAACTATCCTTTTCAGGACAACACTTTTCAAGACTTACCAAAACTGTTCTTTTCAGGACAACATTTTTCAAGGACTATATAACTATCCTTTTCAGGACAACATTTTTCAAGGACTACCAAACCTTCTCTTCTCAGGACAACATTTTTCATCAACTATATAACTATCTTTTTCAGGACAACACTTTTCAAGGACTATAAGACTATCCTTTTCAGGACAACACTTTTCAAGGCCCACCAAAACTGACCTTCTCAGGACAACGCTCTTCTCGCCCGCTAAATGAACACGCAAAGATACCCTTTGTCTAGCTCACCGCAACCTTTTTTTGTCGATGCTAAACGAAAATAAACTCGGCAATATATATATATATATATATATATATATTACTCAAGTTTTCGTGTTGTTTTTATTGTCTTCCGTCCTTCTATATCTGATTGCGGGCCAATATATCACCCTCAACAAATATATCAGTGTGTAGAGCCTAATTCAATGGTTCCCAAACTGTGTGACGCGCCACATAGCTGCGGTGGCAGGTAAAGCGGTATGATTGAAAGGACAAAGATTTAAACAGTTATGAATATTAATTGCATGGTCCAGTCCCAGTGTAAATAGTTATAAATAATTACTGACCGATTTTATGATCGTGGTATTTTTGCATTATATCAAATATATATATAGTAACTGGGGTCTGCAAATCGGAGGAGAGAGTTATCAATGATAATGTTCTGACTTCGAATCCGCGGTTATCTCCCTTTAAGCCTCTCTTTATTTTTTTTTTAAATGTACTTTTTATCTCATAAAATTGGTGGGGCGCCCGTAAATTTTCATTCCGAAAATGCAACCCAGAGTAAAAAAAAAAAAAAAGTGTGGGAGGTACATCCTGAAGGGATTCGTCTTAAAAAAAAACAAAAAAAAAACATCCCTTCTTTGTTATATTGACCACAGGTTCAATCCTAGCCAACTGTTTCCAGTACCTTCGCCAACGTTCCGCCGGACAGAGCGGTTGAGTCAAGGTGTCAAGTCCAGTTTTAATATTTGATTACTAATCGACATGAATAAGAAAAAGAGACATCATGAAATCGAATTTCTCGGGAATTCCTCAGGTGAGTCGCCTCTGCGAATTATTGGATTAAATATGACTAACAAAAGCAGAGATGTCAATCGGTAGCCACCGTAATCGCCCACACAAAAGAAACGACAACAGCAGCAGCAGAACGTGAAAAAAAATCCCTCCAAGTTTCTGTTTAGCGATTTGTCATAAAGACAGCGAAACTTGAGACACAAATCAAGAAATAATATTAATGAAGGATATTCAGGCCGAGTATCAAATCCAAATTTAAATTGATTATTTCAGTAAATGTATTCGCTAAAGTGTTGTTATGAATACATTATGGCTAATAAACTTAAATTCTATAATACATTGAGAGTATCGGGTAATCCTTCTCGTAATAAGTCTTAAGATTAAATCTCTGTTTCTGTTAATGTTTTGATATAGTCTGAGATAGACAGATAGATAAAGAAAGAAATAGATTGAGGCAGACAAACAGATAGATAGATAGAGATGCATAGTTAGAAAGAGAGAGTGAGAGAGAAAGAACGAAAGAAACAGGTTAGATAGATAGATAGATAGATAGATAGATAGATAGATAGATAGATAGATAGATAGATAGATGGAGAGGAGGGAGATGGAGAGAGATAGAGTGAAACACTGTTCAAGATAGATAAAAAAACACCGAGCAAGCTAGCTAGCTAAACAGATAGAAAACACTATGATAGATAGATAGATAGATAGATAGATAGATATGAAAAGACTGACATAGATAGATAGATAGATAGATAGATAGATAGATAGATAGATAGATCTTCTTCGAGCTATTGCTTAAGATAGACTGAGTTCTCTTGCCGTTGGGGTGGCAACCAATTTAGGTAATATTTCCTGTCATAGATAGATAGATAGATAGATATGAAAAGACTGAGATAGATAGATAGATAGATAGATAGATAGATAGATAGATAGATATGACATTTCTAATCACAGAATTGTATTTATCGAGTCATTTTTCAATCATCAACTTGATATCATTTCTGGACTATTAACACATATGTGGCAATTAGCTACAGTCAAAACAACGATCAACAAATCTGTAAGTTTTTCACTGAAACGGTCTAATCTGTGGAAGATGAGAGTGATTCATTTTTCTATAAACTTAACATGAAGGTGTGAAGAGATGAATCAGCGAGAACAGTCCGTCACTCGCTTTAGACACCCGCAACGTAGTCATCGTCGTCATCGCATCCAAGATGATTTCACCGCCGGTTCAGACGTTATTAAAGGACGTGATTAACAGTCGCTTCTTTGCATTTTGATTAAAGCTTCTTACAGGAAGAAAGGTGTGGCAGAAATTCATCACGTCGAGTTAACCGCCATATTGATATACAATATTTTGTTTGCTGGAATGACGAATCGGATTCCATGGTGGCTTTTTTTTTCTTTTTTGGCCATATTTCTCTTTTGGCAAAACTCAGAAGACACACAAGGATTTTATTTTCGTGATTGTATTGTTTTTAATGCGTGGATGGTGCAGTAATGGTTATCGGCGCGGAGAGTGTAGTCAGACACCCGAGTTCAAATTCCGGTCGATTTTATTTCATTCACTTAGAAGTGATGTCCTTTGAAAAGGGATGAATCATCCTTCTTCCAGCGATAGATAGACAGTGAATAAAATGAGATAGATAGATAGATAGATAGATAGATAGATAGATAGATAAGGAACATAATGAAATAGATATGAACAGACTGAGATATATATAAAGAAATTAACTGCGATAGATAGATAGATAGATAGATAGAAAGAAATCAATGATAGATGGAGAGGAGGAGGGAGATGGAGAGAGAGAGAGAGAGAGTAACACACTGTTCAAGATAGATAGAAAAACACCGAGCAAGCTAGCTAGCTAAACAGATAGAAAACATTAAGATAGATAGATAGATAGATAGATAGATAGATAGATAGATAGATAGATCTTCTTCGAGCCATGGGTTAAGATAGACTGAGTTCGCCTGCCGTTGGGGTGGCAACCAATTTAGGTAATATTTCCAGTCATATATCTTACAAAGATAGATAGATACATACATACATAAATTTTCTTTTGATTATGGGTTACAATAATTACATTGGACTCTCTAGTCTTTTGTCAGCATAAGAAATAGCCTAACATCCGGATTATAAATTGGGATTACCAAAATTAGACAATTGTAAAAAGTTAAATATCCCGCGAAGTTTTTAATTGAGGATGGGGAGTACGACACCTAAATCCGAAGTCTCATTGGGATAGGGAATGATGTTTTCCAAAAGCCAAGCAAAGTATTAAGAAACAGAAAACTTTCGTTAGAAACAAAGAAACAAGTGCTGGACTGTTACATAATATCGGTGCTCTTGAATGCTGCCAGATAAACAAAAGACTTGAGAAGGAAGCTGAGAATACCATGGATTGAACATGTGTTCAATGAGGAAGTAATAGAGAAAATGGAAACAAAAATGGCACTTACAAGAAGCACCAGAGTGCGACGGTTGAAATTTCTAGGGTGCATAGGCATATTGGAGGCAAGAAGGAGAGAGGAAAGCAACGCATAACCTACCTAAGGAGCTTATGTAAACGGTTGGCAGACCAGGAATTAGGAGGACGAAAAGATATTTGCTAAGAGCGAAAGATTAGAAATTGTTGCAGAGCCAACGCCCGGAAGGGACAAGACACGGCATAGAATAATAATAATAATAATAATAATAATAATAATAATAATTCTGACAAGTACAGCCCACACTTTACGAAGGTATACATAGGTATACGCATATTCCATTATATCAGTTTTATAGCCTTGCAAATACACACTGCTGAGAGAGTGTACATATTGGCGGTGTCAATGGAAAAACCTCCCTTTTCAAACACCGTTTTTTAGGGATTTCTTTGCGAGCAGGAAGGTTCATATTTGCCGAAAATGTAATATTAAATAATGAATGATTCACGCGTCGAGGTATTCATTAGTCTGCATGCATTTATAATTAACCGACAGAACGACTTATAGTCACGGTTTTTATTTTATTTGTGAATTTTTATCATAAAAATCAACACACCGTCTGTTTCCGCGGATAAGACGACCTTTAAATCTCTAAAATCACTCTTAAAAATTGGGTGTCGTCTTATATTCAGTCAGTTATACGCCATGCGTGATACACGCTTAGGCGATCATGTATCTTTCGATACATGACTGACGAGGCAGATTTTTTCCCGCAGTAGGTTGCCATTTCTTACTGCAGTAGACCAGTTGCCATCCAAGGTTATAGAACCCGGTCTGTCTTGCTATTTACCCATCGCTGGGGGAAGAAGAGGAGTTTCCTAAGGGTATTAGCATGTAAGTGAATATCAGTCAGTTATGTGCCATGCGTGATACACGCTTAGGCGATCATGTATCTTTCGATATATGACTGACGAGGCAGATTTTTTTCCCGCGGTAGATTGCCATTTCTTTTTGCGGTAGACCAGTTGCCACCCAGAGCTACAGAACCCGGTCTATCCTGCTATTTACCCATAGCTGGGAAGAAGAGAGGAGGATTCATATCTTTCCCTATGGTATTGGCACATAACTAAATTTCAGTCAGTTATGTGTCATGCGTGATACACGCTTAGGCGATCATGTATCTTTCGATACATGAATGACGAAGCAGATTTTTTCCGCAGTAAGTTGCCATTTCTTTCTAAGATAGACCAGTTCCCATCCAAGGCTACAGAACCCGGTCTATCCTGCTATTTACCCATATCTGGAGGGACTGTGATTCTAAAAAAGGATCCTAAATTTCTGAGTGATGTTTGTTAGTATGATAACCTCGGCCTTGGTTCGATAAGCAATAACGTACATGAAAAGATTCTCTTTATCAAATAAACTGATAATAAAACTACACACATGCATATGCACAAAAGCTGAGTATCATCTACCATGTACTCGACTGTGAAAACAGAATAACCTATACTATATCGATATTACTTCAAAGCTCCCCAAAAATTAAATTTTGGCATTAAATGACACATCGATATGACACAGTTGATATGACATTAAAAAAAACACAAAAGCTGAGCATCATCTACCATGTATTCAATTGTGAAAGCAGAATAATACATAACATATATTTATTACTGTATGTATTACCGCACCCCCAAATCACCTTTAAAAATTGGGGGTCGTCTTATACTACAATTCTAAAAAAGAATCCTAATATTTTGAGTGATGTTTGTCGGTATGCTAACTTCAGCTTTGGTGCGAGAACCAATAACGTACATGAAAAGATTCACATTATTAAATAAACTGATAATAAATGTAATAAAACCATTTCTGACTTATACATTACGGACATAACTTCATAATAAATTGTCTATTTGAAGAATAATTCTATATCAATGAAATCAACTTGTATCCATGTAAACTCAGCTGAGAAAATGTAAACATCGAGTTATGATTGCGTTCACAGCAATGCAATGTACTATTTTTATATGGCATTTTGTGATTGTTGATGAAGTATAAATAAATGACCATTATCACACCAGGCTGTTTTAGAAGAAGAAGAAGAAAGAAGAAGAAGAAGAAGAAGAAGTAGAAGAAGAAGAAGAAGAATCAATATTCGCAAGAGAACACGTGTGAGTAGTCGAGTTCTACTGTCTTCAACTCTACTGTTCTGTACTGGTTAATTTGGGAATGAATCCGAACTTATATTACTATCGGTAGGCTCCCAGCACGAACGCGGGATAAATTTTGAAAGAACACGAAAAATATCTGATTGGATGAAAAATTAACCAATCGGTGATTTTATAACAAAACATGTTTGTGAGTAACCGGTAGGAAAAATTCACTGTGGTGAATGCGATCAGTAAATTGTCCTGTGATATTTAGTATTTATTATTTGACCAATCACAGTTGAGAAAAATTTAGGCGTGTCAAACATAGTAGTAATAACTAGAATCAAATAAACTGATAATAAATGTAATAAAACCATTTCTGTCTTATACATTACGGACATAACTTCATAATAAATTGTCTATTTGAAGAATAATTCTATATCAATGAAATCAATTTGTATCCATGTCAACTCAGCTGTGAAAATATAAACATCGAGTTATGATTGCGTTCACAGCAATGCATTGTATTATTATTGTACATTATCGTACTGTTATTAGCGGTATTTTGTGATTGTCAATGAAGTATAAGTAAATGGACATTAGTACACCAGGCTGTTTGTAACTGTTTAGATATAGAAAAAGAAGAGGAAGAATACTGATCCGTATTCGCAAGTTATCACGTGATGAAACAGAAACAAAACAATGGTTTCCCTTCAAGTGACGTATGTAGAAAAACATGATATAGAATCGGTTTTGTTATTTCGTTTATTTTGAATTTCTATGGATACAGTAACGTAACAACATTGCCAATAACATCATCTTTATATAATCAATAAGCACTCGTCTTATACTATAGGCATTGGAGAAATGAATGAAAATTTGCTATATTTTATTTTACCTCGTCTTATCTAAAGGGTCGACATACACGGAAATATACGGTATTTTTTTTTAAAGTTTTACCTTGCATCTGTATGTATCTACGCCTACAGACATATTTCTGGCTCTCGCAATATTACAAGTCCATTTGCAGCCATCAAAGGACTGTTTATTTTCTGGTCCAGAGCAGCGCACCGCCAGCCTCAATACGCATTCTGCAAAGCAAAATAATTCTGAATCAGCTTTTTCCGGTAAAGATTCTTTCTTCCCGGTACTTTATGGCTTTCAGGCCGAATGCGAAAAGAAGCTTCTCAAAGAATCAATGCGCCATGCTTCATGATCTTGAAAAAAAAAAAAAAAAAAAAAAAAAAAGGATTTCCCTGATAATTAAACCGTGTAACATGAGAGATTTGGAAAAAGTAATATTTAGCGTAAATATGAAGATGGCGGCAAGACGCTTCATGTAAACAAGCAGACGATATTTTGTGAAAAAAAAAAAAAAAAAAATTAAAAAATATGAAAAAATTGCGGGGAGAGAAATATTTGAAGTCATATGAACAAATACAATTAATAGATTTTTCTATCGCTCACATTTTCTTACAAGCAATAAAAAAATAGCTTATACTTATGTAACCCGGATATAAGAGAGTTGTCGGGACCGGAGAAGAAGTCTCTTATATCCGGGTTTCTTTTATATCCAGGTTTGTTCTATTTTATATACATTAACACAGGCTCTAATTTGGGACCAGAGAAAATCTCTCTTATATCCGGGTTTCTCTTATATTCGGGTCTCTTATATCCGGGTTACACTGTACCACGTTGGTCTTTCCTCAAACACTAGAAGAGTTATTCAATATGATTTACTTGGTTGTGTCAAATTTAGTATAGTATATAATTAGTTTTATTTTTTTTACTGGGATCAGTGGAGAATATAGTACTTATGAGTTTTTATTAGGATTCTTTCATCTTGTTTGTAGTTAGAATGTATTTGATTACGGTATAAGTTGATATGTTTAGGGTTTAGACTTCACGTGTTTATGCTAGTTAAATTTTTATATCAGGTGATAGTAAATTTACCATTATTGGTGACTATCAATACATCAAGAAAAGGAATTTTATTGTTATTGTTAAGTTCATATGTGAATTTAAGAACGGAGTTTTTTTTGTTTTTTTTTATTTTGCATTTTATGTATCTCATCTTTATGAGAATATATCTTAGGTAGATTTTGTTGAAGTGAAGCATTTATGTTTTTGTCACGGATACAATCTCCCAAAGGAGATTTAAACTTATATACCACGTTGATCTTTCCTCAAACACTAGAAGAGTTATTCCATATGATTTACTTGGTTGTGTCTAGTATATAATTAGTTTTATTTTTTTTACTGGGATCAGTGGAGAATATAGTACTTATGACTTTTTATTAGGATTCTTTCATCTTGTTTGTAGTTAGAATGTATTTGATTACGGTATAAGTTGATATGTTTAGGGTTAATTTAGGAAGTATTATATTCTTTTTTATTTATATTAATATTTCTAATGGCTCGTCTAATTTGTTCATCAAAAATGTAATTAGGAAAATCATTGTTAATGAA